GCAACAAATTCAATGAAAGGAGTAAAATGTAATTTGTAATTAAAATCAAAACTAAATGTAAAGAAAAGCAATTAAATGTATTAAAATGAAACCTAAATATGTACAATAAAAAGTTTACCTTTTCCTGTTCCTATTGATTTTTTCTCGCGTGACTTCTCCCTTCTGTAGGACGAGAGCAAGCTGATGATTTTTCTTTTGTAATCGTCTTCCGGACACCCTACATTCATAGCGACGTCCCGCCAAGCGTCACTTTTTTGTTCTTTTTATAATAATCATTTTCTCCGGGATTCCTCAGTACAGGGAATGATTTGTATGCCTCTATGATCCCCAAAATATCTTCTTCTGACCACTCCATCTTTGAGGCGTGCGCGCTTCGCGGGACAAATGGCAACCAAACTCGACCACACTGCGGCAACGAATCCCTTTGTGTTCGTCAGAAAAACAGACAGGAACCGGATTGCTGCGCGGCAGTCGAGGGGTGCGCTGCGCATGTTCAAAATCACGTACACACGAGCGAATACCCCTTCGTTCTATGTTGCATGTGTATTCCCACCCTTAGGGGAATCACTTTCGTGCTCAACTGTTTCATGTGGGTGCTCTGTTCCCCAAATACGCACATTGTGACGATTGACTGTGCCGCTCAAGAGAAAAGTCGCTTCATCACTAAAAATTAAACGTGAAATGAAGGTTTCGTCTTCCATCATCTCCAGCATCGAATCGCAAAATTCCATCCGCTTCCTTTTGTCGTCATTGGTAAGTGCCCGAACGAGCTGCAGTCTGTATGGTTTCAAATGTAGACGTACTGTTAGCACACACCAGACAGTGGATTGAGGGATCGCAAGCTCACGGCTAGCTCGATTTGTTGACTTCCGTGGGCTCCTCTCAAACGCAGCACGGATTCTCGCCACTTGCTCCTCCGAGACTCGTGGTCGTCCTGGACTTTTTCTTTTACACAGACACCCACTGTCTTGAAACTGTCGAAACCACCGTCGAATGTTCTTAGGACAGGGCGGATTAATGCCGAATCGCCTTCGAAAAGCACGCTGCACCGTGACAACCGAATTTGTTTTCGCGAACTCGAGAACGCAGAACGCCTTTCGCTGAGGACTCGCCATTCCGAGGGTAAACGAACAACTCAACGTTGCCGGAAGAAGACGCGACTTCAGCGCTCCTGTGGCAGCTATTCACAACTTAGATAACTCCTCTTTCAAATGGTCACTGACTCATTCCATGACGATGCTTGAGAACTGAAGCAATACGTCATGAAATCGGTTCGTTCTTTTTGAATAGCCCTGTATATATTTAAGACTACACTTTCAACATCAACATCTAATCTGTCAATTGCAAACTTAATTGTGTTATGTATGACATGATTAGAGCAATTAGCTTTCAGTAAATTTGGGTTTTTACTTCGCAGCAACTGATATACGGAATGTGTTTTTCCATAGTTCACATTGGCATTGTCTGCACAATAAGAAGACACACAATTTACATCCAAGTTGTGCTTTTCTAAGCTCTGCAGCACCAAACCAGTAATTGCCATAGACGTTTCCTCAGCACTTTCAACAAAATCTAGAAGTTTATTCTGCACTCCCTTTAAAGGGTCGAAGTACCAGATGCAAACAAGGTACATTTCTCGATTGTTTCTGTTTGATGCATCGGTAGCCAACGAAAAATAATTTTGAAGTATTTTCTGGGCATCTTAAAATAGACACAAAGTCATTTACACTTTTAGGAGCAAGAACGTACTTCCCTATCATTTCCGCTTTAGTGCGTCCACATGAATGTTTGGAAGCAATCGCGGAATCACTGAAAATATGAGACACAAGTTTATTTCCGCAGTCCAGACTGGAATAACTTAAGTTGTGTTTCACTGCATGATACACTAAATCAAGTTCGCACGCGGTGCTGTTGTCATATTCTTCTTTATTGTTTAAATTAACAAAGTATTTCGAAAGTTTATTTGAACTTCCAGAATTACATTTTTCCATAATTTTATGTCCCTTGTATTGTGCATGTTGCCTCAGGTCACTTTGTCCACCGTGCGAAGTACTAAAATCCTTCCTACACAACGTACAAAATGCCCGGTTCTCGTCTGGTCCCGGCTTAACCCACGAAAACATATCTTCCCATTTCTTAAGATATATTCTTCCGTGGAGGAGTCTCATGGATCTTTTTCGCCCTCAAACGTTTTTGCTAACTTGACACTGACTTTCTAGCGAAGATTGAACGGATTAAAAGTACACTATCACCAACAACCTCTGCTGTGGTTTAGAACCTCAACTGTTGCCAACATTCACGAAATGCAACGAAAGAAACTATAACAATGTCATTTTCCAAGGATTACAGAAATTTTACGATAATGTTTAACCCATGAAATGTAATTCGCAATGGACTTAAATAAAAAAAAAACGGAGAATTATCCACTCCAGGTAAACAATAAACGGAGGAACAAAATTTGGGTGAAAAAACGGAAGAATCCGGGGGAAAACGGGGTATCTGGGAACCCTAGTCTACGGCCACAGTATTCTTCGATACTGAGAAAGCATTTGATACAACACACCTTGGCTTGCTATGTAAATTGTAGGAATTAAAATTTTTGATCAGCCTAATCAAGCTTATTAGCTCTTTCCTTTCTCAGAGTAAATTCAGAATTTTGAAGGTGAAATGTCTGCGCCAAGGGATATACAAGCAGGGGTGCCACAAGATTCCATCCTGTCCCCCACATTTTACAGCATATTTATAAATGATATACCTCAAACACCTGGTGTCTATCTAAGTCTCTTTGCTGATGACATCAGTATATATATATATATGACTGACTGCAGGGAGTGTTATGGTCTCAGAAAGATGCAGCGAGGTTTCAGTGCTACTGAGGCAAGGTGTGAGCGCTGGAACATAAAAATCAATGATCATTAGGCTCAGGACATCAACTTTTCCAATGTACTTACATTCCCTGAGGCTTATCTTTCATAAAATGAACAGAACACCCCCTTTGCCCATCATGTGAAATATTTCCATGTGGTCTATGATAAGAGGTTTACAGGAAGACTGCACATAGAAATGACTGAAGTCAAGGCCTTCCGAACATTTAACAGAATCGACTTCCTATTCAAAAGCGAGCATTAAACTAAACCTTCATAAGGTACTGATCAGATGAATAAAGACTTCAGCTTGCCCCGACTGGGAATTAGCAGCTCACACCAACCTCTTCAATTAACCTTTAAGTGCCGAAGTGCCCAGTTTGTGCCAGTCATGAGTAAGGTCGTCGTGGCCAAAGTATCAAGTTTTGGCCAGTCAGGCATTTAAACTCCGCTAGTGGAAGCGCGCGCACACGCCGCTAGTAGAAGCGCATGCACATTCCTAAATATTTATTTTCAAATGTAGTAATTACCATACAGACTTGAGTAAAACCCTAAGAGGAATTAAAATAATACCCAACTGAACAACAGCAAATAAAAATATACGTATGAGTTATGCCAAAACTTATCCACGATCCAGTAATTTTATTGCAGATTCTGCAGATATGTATGTTAAAAATATATTGTAAAATTTGATGTACATACCTTTTTTGTTGTTACCTGCTTGATGTATATACAGTTTCAAATAGAACTACCGTATTCAATTTCACTACGAACGCACACAAAACAGATCGCGCTCTGTATCTCAGCCACGATGCAGCTGTCTGTTCACTCAAATAGAAGGGGCAATAAGCTTTTGCAGTTCTAACGGAAGGTTTTAGCACTGAAGAAGGGACCCCTCTAGCTTTCTCTTGAATAGCCATTCTTTCATTCTTCTGACCTTCAGTCAAAGATTCGAAAATCCGAAGGGTGTAAGCAGTGCTAGCAGAAGACCAAATGATTTTATTGCTTCCATCTGTTTTATGACACCAGGGACTGCTAAAATTTGTCAAGTGTTACAAACAGAAATGAATTTATAATGCAGAACAACTCTGTGAAGAACTGGGAAACAATTTTTGCAGTACGCATCAAAATTAAAACACAAAAAATTGAAAATAGAGTATAACACTTTGTATTAAAAATTTCAAATCTTCCGTTATAATATGCGACACTATGTTCTTTGCTGATATAAACAAAGTTAATACCATCCATTTATCATAAAAATTGTGCTAGATACAGCATTTTTAAACACAACGCTTAAAATTGATTAACCGCCTAACAGGAACGGACATTTAAATGAGCACCAGCAGCGGGCATTTAAATAAACTCCGGCCAGCTCAAGTTTACCACTATTTCGAAGTCCGGCGTTTAAAGGTTAACAGCTCCTACAAAACAAGGTTTCCCATGCTACTGGAAATTTTCCAAGCTGCACACCATTCTGTGATTTGCAGTTTTCAGCCTTCTGTGTGTGCTATATTATTGTATAACAAAATTGTTCAGGTAATATGACGAAGTCATACAAAATTGATAGAATGAACATGGTCACAGCATAGGACAAGGCGAAACCAGACAGAAAATACAAGAGGCTTAACTTGGCGGTGGTCAAGCTTATGACCGTTGATGAAGGATAGGCATGTGCTATTTTGCAAAGCCTGGACCGACAGAGGACTTGTGTGTAATGCAAAAGGAAGAATTTTCAATGACATGCTACATGTGCGATACATTCACCTGACAAAAGGCCAAGCATGTTCATAAGAGACATGCCCATTCTCTCTTGAGAGAGGATGTTACATGAGGACTATAACTGCAAAGGTTCAATATCTCTGGTTGTGAGTCTCAAGGGGCTTGGTGACAAAACGAACTGATTGGCTGTAAACCGCCAGTCATGAAGTAACTTTGACTCTGATAGCAGTATAGTCCTCAGAGTTAGGCTGCATGTCTCCCCAAGTCGTAAAACAGTCTTGCGGCACTCAAACCAAGAATTTCTGTTCTGGCAATTTCCAAGAGCAATTTGCACAACCACATGATAATCTAGACTTCAAAACACTTAAACCATAACTCTTAAAATAGATTGTCATATTATAGCGACTAGATACTGGGTTTGGATTGATAACTGAATTTATTAAATGCTTATAACTCATAAGCACAAATAACTATTACATTGTCACTGATTTACACTATAGAACACTAAAACTATGGCACACAAAATCTTCTGTTTTTCAATCTTTCATTGCTAGTCATGTCACTAGTCATTTCTTGGTAGTGGCTACTAACAGTGGAACTGGTGACTCTTGGAACTATTGCACCTGATTTCCTTATGCCAGCTGAAGTTTTATACAAAAAACATAGGATGGTCTGAAACAATTTCTTTCAAGACAGCACATATATGTTGCTGACTTTGTAGATTAGATAGCTTAATGTTCTCTCCCTCCAGGTACACACGAGCCCTCTTAGCAGCAAGATGTGCATAATATGTAGGTGCTGGATGGGACACACTGCGTGTACAACGTGAGAACATATGACATAAGTAGTATGCAATCTTTTCAATTTCATTTTCTGTCATATTATCATCATTCCACAATAAATGATACTTGGTAGGTCTGCTAACACCCTGGATGCCGGAATGGCTAACCAGATAAAAGTCCACTTCAGTCGGGTGAGTAATTTCACGATCAACCACTGTACCGGGAGGAACGTTCTTATATCTCCCATCTGCATCCTCACTTCTTGGAAAGAATCGGGTGTGGTGACGTTTCTGCACCACCAGGAATGTCACTTTAGGTTCATATTCTTGGCCCATAGAAAAACAAGCACGTCGAATTGCATTCACCTCGCTGTTCAAAACCTGTGCGAACTGTCCATCACACAATCTCAAAATATTATCCTCTCTGGTTTGCAAGCATATGTGTGTCTATAAAAGAACAGACGCTGCTGTCTCATGATATTTACCAGGTCTTCAATGATCTCTACCTTTGGAGGTCATAATCTAATCTGGATGTTGTACTTGAAAGCCTTTGGATCATGGCTGGCAGTTACAGCAGCAACTAAAGGGATGCTAACCTGATCCGGCGATGGATGGGTCACATCAGCTCCTACTATAATAACTGGGCGAAACAAACATGGTTTATACCGTTCAGCTTTGAGTTGATTTTCAATAGAATGTTGGAACATACAGCAGGATTCAAACGTGACATTGTTCTTCCCTTCACACATTGAGTCAATACTCCAACATTCAGCTCTGCTACTTTCTTCACTTTAGCATAGCAGTCTCCTCTATCAGGAACAACCACCACCAGCAGCTGAACTTCTCTCTTTACTGTTTTAAAGAATTCCATTAGTTGATATGTATTTTTTGTTGGAGGCTGCATAAACTCTGGGGGAGGAGGAGGAGCAATGTCCATTCCCAAAGTTCGACCCGCGTTCTGCATTTCAACTCCAAACTGTCTCATCTCATCTTCTTTTGTATATTTGTTTAAGTTCAGAATAATCCAGTGAGAAAGCTTGTTGCTGCTCAAAAATTTTAATGGCCTCCAAACACCCTTCATAGGCTTTACAACATTTTTTATTTCAACTTCAATATTATATTGTAACTGTGGTGCCTCTAGTACACGAGCCTCTACTTTTTCAAATCGGTCACTGACTGAGAGGCCAAACTCTTTCATACATGGGTTGTCATTGAATCTCACTGACTGCAGCGCTTCCTGATATCGGTAGATGTTGCAGTGTTCTTTATCATGTTTGATATTTGTGTCTCATTCAATTTTCTGATCGTGACTTGACTCCTTGTCACCGTGCACAACTCTGCTGGAACACAGATTGGTTTGAACCTATTCATGGAGCCAACATGAAGACATGGAAGATGTGGATATGAAAGAATTATCTTCTTCTCATGGGCAAAGTATTCTGCAACAGATATCCATGTGTGATCATCCAATTCAAAGAACTGTTCAACTGGACTTTTTGTAATATTGTTCACTTTGTATGTCCTCTTGCTGGTTGGCACATCTGGAAGCATATAATCAATCTTCAGGCCATGAATATAGTTCAAGAAATCTTCCTTTTGCTGGATTGATAGTTCTTTCTGAAGGTCTTCACACCTGAGCTTGCATACCTCCAAAATAAGGTCTACAACATTTCTTGCCGAGGGGAAGCCTTTGTGAGCGACATCAATATTAACAAAGAGTTTCCATCCCAGGATGACACTTTGAAAGAATCCATGCCACATTTTGAAGCCATCACCTAGTTCCACTACTCGACCCTTTGGAGGACTAAAGAGAGAGCGTCCTGCCTGCACAAGCCTGAAGGCTGACACATTGCGCAGTATAATATCAACAGCTTGAATGGCTTTTTGAGGAGGAAGAAGAGAAGCCCCACTAGCCGTGTACTGTACTAGAGACTGCAAATCAGCCTGAGATGCATACTTGATGGTAATCTTAAACTTTCTTTCTTTACCAGATTCATTATCACACAAAGCAATATGATCACACATCTCTCTGCCAAATGGCAGCTCTCCAGAGCTATACAAATTTGTCTTCCCGTCAAATGCTGGAAACCGTTTTGGATAATGTTTGAGCCTAAATTCTTCCATGGCAGCCCTCAACATTCTCTGTGGAACTGAGGGCTCTAGTGTTACATCATAATGTATGATAATGTTGTTTCGTACTCTTGACAAATCCAGTGCAAAATGATTAGTTTCAACAATTATTGATTTCCCCATGGTTCCACACTTATTCCAATCCTTTCTCATTGGTAATTGCAATGTCTGAATTAACTGGTTTGTTGTTTCAGCACTTGATGTATCACCTACAGTTCGCTGAGCAGCTCATGCTGACAGTGCTCCTTGTGAAGTACTTCCATGTACTAGTCCTTGTCTGTGTGGTCCTGTGTGGCCACTGCAAAAACCAGAAGTACCAACAACTGCCCCCACCTGGGTTGGTAGTACTTGTTCCTGATGAAGCATCATCTTCTGCTGCAGGGGTTGAGATGGTCTAGCATGTCCTTCAATACTTAAAAGTGTTTCCTGTTGCTGTTGCTGTTTAAGTTGTGATGGTTCGATTTGTGTCCTTTCACTTCCTTTCTGTCCAGTGCCAGTTTTCTCTGACCCCTCACATTGCTCTCCAGTTTGCTGCCTCCAAGATGTCTTTTGTACTTTCTTACTCATTTTGTTGAATCAAATTTTTGTAACGTGTTTTGCTGCTGAAGACGCCGTTCGGATTGTTATTTGGTTTATTTAACAACCTACAAGTCTTGGCTGCAATTAATTATAACACTGTTACGGGTTTACATACTTTACAACCCTACACACAAATCTCTTCACACTATCACGATTCACTTGTTACAACTGAACTCTGTGACTACTACAATTCAACTGACTCCTTAAGTCAAAGTCAAAGTCACATTACGACTGTCGGTCAGTCAGTCAGTAAGTCTTGGTGTCGAGCCCCACCAGATATTTATTACTGTTTGACAGTTACGGTCTTGTTTTTGTGGGGCGCCCTCTCTGATGAGTGGATGGGTCTGTCATTTGTATATGCTGCTGGCCCTTGCCAGCACAGTCTTTCTTGGGTCCG